TGAGGAGGCACTGGTAGGTTGCACTGATGGGCATTGACAGGCATCACTGATGGGCACTGAAAGGCAGCACTGATACATGACACTGATATATGGCACTGATAGGCGGCACTGATAGGCAGCACTGACTGGCACTGTTAGGCGGCACTGACTGGCACTGTTAGGCAGCACTGACTGGCACTGATAGGCAACACTGACTGGCATTGATAGGTGGCACTGATTGGCAGCACTGATAGGTGCACTGATTGGCATTGATAGGTGGCACTGAGTGGCACTGATAGGTGACATTGAAAGGCAGCTCAGATGGGCACTGATATGTGGCATTGATGTGGCACTGACTGCTGGCACTTCTGGGGCCACCCTGATCATCAGTGCACATGTCCCCTCAGAGGAATGCCGATCACCGGCTCTCCTCTCCTGTCAGTGTGACAGCTCGTGAGGAGAGAAATGCCGATAACCGACATTTCCGTGTTTACATGTGATCAGCTGTGATTGGACACAGCTGATCACATGACTGAGCCAACATCTTCGTCTCTTTCTGCTGATCGGTGATCCGCTGTGTCCAAGGGACACAGCGCACCGGCGATCCCCACGCTGCGTGCTCCCTGAACCGCGCAGTGAGAATGGGAGGATGTCATATGACGTCCTATCAGACATTGTACTATATGGTGGGCAGAAGGTGGTTAAATTTGTCTAATTCGTTTAATTCATTTTAGGAATTCGTTTCATTTTCAAATTAGTTTCAATTCTATTCGAATTCAATTCGAGCGCATTCAAATTCTATAATTTATTCTATTTGAAATCACAATTTCGGAATGTGGTTGTATTCTTTCTTTTTTATTCTATTCTATTGCTTTTTTTTATTCTATTCTATTCTATTATTTTTCTATTATTTTTCTATTCTATTCTAATCTGCACTTTTATATTTTATCCTATTCTGTTCTTTTATATTGTTTTGTATTCTGTTTTATTCTTTTGTTTTCCTATTCTGTTCTTTTATTGTCTATTCTATTCTTTTCTAATCTATTCTGTTCGAATTTGAATTTATTCTATTCCAAAATCAAATGACAGTTTTATTCTATTTTATTTTATTGTTTTCTATTCTATTCTTTTATTGTCTATTCGATTATTTTCTATTGTATTCAAATTTGAATTTATTCCAGTTTTATTATATTTTATTCTATTCTATTCTTTTATATTGTATTCTATTATATTGTTTTTCTATTCTTTGACTATTCTATCTATTCTAATCTATTATATTCAAATTTGAATTTACTCTATTCTAAATTCGATTGACAGTTTTATTCTTTCTATTTTATTTTATTCTATTGTTTTTTCTATTATACTCTATTAATTTTCTATTCTATTTTATTGTTTTTCTATTCTGTTATTTTATGGACTTTTCTATTCTTTTTTTTATTCTAATCTATTCTATTTTATTCTATTTGAATTTGAATTTATTCTATTTGAAATTTGAATGACAGTTTTATTCTGTCTATTTTATTCTATTCTATTGTTTTTTCTATTATATTCTATTCTTTTTTTTTTCTTTTCTATTCTCTTCTATTCTTTTCTATTCTATTATAATCTACTCTATTCAAATTTAAATGTATTCTATTTGAAATTCAAATGGCAGTTATATTCTATTTTATTCTATTCTCTCGTTTTTTCTATTCTGCTCTAATATATTCTATTATAATCTATTCTATTCTTTTACATTGTATTGTATTCTATTTTATTCTATTGTTTTTCCATTCTATTCTTTTATTGTCTATTCTATTTTTTTTTATTCTATTCTAATCTATTCTGTTGAGTTTGAATTTATTATATTCAAAATTCAAATTCAGAAGACAGTTATATTCTTTCTATTTTATTCTATTATGTTTTCAGTTCTATTCTATTCAAAAGTATTCTGTTCGAAATTTCGGAAGACTTTCTTTTTTATTCTATTCAGTTTTTTTTTATTCTATTCTATTTTTTTTCTATCCTAGTCTTTTATATTGTATTCTATTTTATGCTATTCTTTTTTATTCTATTCTTTTATTGTCTATTCTATTCTGAATTTTGTCCGAATTCCATTTAGTTATTTCAGACTCGTTACTATTGTAAGGGCTCATGTACACTGCAGATGATAAACTCACGTTCAGAAGCTGTTGAGCATTTTCTTCAGCAGCCCCCGAACTCTCCCTAATATTTTCCTATGTGTCTGTGTACACATCGTTCTTTACAGGCAGTTGAGTTTACAGTCCTTTCTTTGAACGCAATAAACTTGTGTTCAGCAGTAGATTTTCCCAGCGTTTCAAACGCCAAACGCTTGTAGCTGCGTCCAGAGCCTTTTTTCATCATCAGAGATGCATGCAAAGCGTTTTCCATGTATTCAAATGGACCCGACACACCAGCGCAGTCAGTTACAGGTTTTGTGTATTGGAAAAAAATGGTAGAACGCGCCCGCATTATCCTCATGATGGGATCCATAGTGACTACAACCAGAAAAGACAGCGAATCTGAACACATACTGCTCTCCCTGCTTCTGCTCTCTCTTCTTCTTCTGTTCTCTCTTCTTCTGCTCTCCCTGCTTCTGCTCTCCCTGCTTCTGCTCTCTCTTCTTCTGTTCTCTCTTCTTCTGCTCTCCCTGCTTCTGCTCTCCCTGCTTCTGCTCTCCCTGCTTCTGCTCCCCCTGCTTCTGCTCTCCCTGCTTCTACTCTCCCTGCTTCTGCTCTCCCTGCTTCTGCTCTCTCTTCTTCTGCTCTCCCTGCTTCTGCTCTCTCTTCTTCTTCTCTCTCTGCTTCTGCTCCCTCTGCTTCTGCTCTCCCTGCTTCTGCTCCCCCTGCTTCTGCTCCCACTGCTTCTGCTCTCCCTGCTTCTGCTCTCTCTTCTTCTGCTCTCCCTGCTTCTGCTCTCCCTGCTTCTGCTCCCTCTGCTTCTGCTCTCCCTGCTTCTGCTCTCTCCTCTTCTGCTTCCTCTGCTTCTGCTCTCCCTGCTTCTCTCTCTCTTCTTCTGCTCTCTCTTCTTCTGCTCTCCCTGCTTATGCTCTCTCTTCTTCTGCTCTCTTCTTCTGCTCTCCTTGCTTCTGCTCTCTCTTCTTCTGCTCTCTCTTCTTCTGCTCTCTCTTCTTCTGCTCCCTCTGCTTCTGCTCTCCCTGCTTCTGCTCTCTCTTCTTCTGCTCTCTCTTCTTCTGCTCTCTCTTCTTCTGCTCCCTCTTCTTCTGCTCTCTCTTCTTCTGCTCTCTCTTCTTCTGCTCTCCCTGCTTATGCTCTCTCTTCTTCTGCTCTCTTCTTCTGCTCTCCTTGCTTCTGCTCTCTCTTCTTCTGCTCTCTCTTCTTCTCTCTCTCTTCTTCTGCTCCCTCTGCTTCTGCTCTCCCTGCTTCTGCTCTCTCTTCTTCTGCTCTCTCTTCTTCTGCTCTCTCTTCTTCTGCTCCCTCTTCTTCTGCTCTCCCTGCTTCTGCTCAGTCTTCTTCTGATCCCTCTTCTTCTTCTCTCCCTGCTTCTCTCTCTCTTCTTCTGCTCTCCCTCTGCTTCTGCTCTCTCTTCTTCTGCTCTCCCTGCTTCTGCTCTCTCTTCTTCTGCTCTCCCTGCTTCTGCTCTCTCTTCTTCTGCTCTCTCTTCTTCTGCTCTCCCTGCTTCTGCTCTCTCTTCTTCTGCTCTCCCTGCTTCTGCTCTCTCTTCTTCTGCTCTCCCTGCTTCTGCTCTCTCTTCTTCTGCTCTCTCTTCTTCTGCTCTCCCTGCTTCTGCTCTCTCTCTTCTTCTGCTCTCTCTTCTTCTGCTCTCTCTTCTTCTGCTCTCTCTTCTTCTGCTCTCCCTGCTTCTGCTCTCTCTTCTTCTGCTCTCCCTGCTTCTGCTCTCTCTTCTTCTGCTCTCCCTGCTTCTGCTCTCTCTTCTTCTGCTCTCTCTTCTTCTGCTCTCCCTGCTTCTGCTCTCTCTTCTTCTGCTCTCCCTGCTTCTGCTCTCTCTGCTTCTGCTTTCTCTATTTCTCTCAAAATGAAATAGTTAATTTTTTTCCTATTTTTCAGTGCATTCTGGGCATTTTGGAAGGTCTCCTAAGGTTATCTTTTAAAAATGCTTCTAAACACAAACGCACATAATCGCGCATAAACGCAGCTAAACAGATGTTTTTTAACCTACGTTTTCCAGCAGTCAGTTTCCATCATTCAGAAGAGTTTTCCGAATGCCCTGTGTACATGAAGCCCTAATTCAGAAATTCGAAGACATCCAAATGTCCAAATATCAAAAAATTTGTCCGAATTCGAAATCAGAACAAAGCGAACCGCACGTGTCTAGTACAGTGAATAACATCGATTATTGCACTACGATGGCACCTGAAAGTGGGTGGGGTATATGCGCCACTGATCTACAGCGCCAATTCTGACATTTCTTTCCTGTAAAAATCATCATTTGTTTTTTTTTTACTAAAATATTACTTAGAACCCCCAAACATTCTACAGGGGCCCTCCTAGAGAATAAAATAGTGGGTGTTGCAATGTTTGTGTGTCGCGCGGTATTTGCACAGTGGGTTTGTTTTAACCGCTCGCCTGCCGGGCACCCCCTTCCTGCCCAGGCCAATTTTCAGCTTTCAGCGCTGTCACACTTTGAACGACAATTGCGCGGTCATGCAACACTGTACCCATATGAATTTTTTATCATTTTTTTAAAAAAGATAAAGCTTTATTTTGGTGGTATTTAATCACCTCTGAGGTTTTTATTTTTTGCTAAACAAACCAAAAACAACTGAACATTTTGAGAAAAAAACACGTTTTTTCTTAGTTTTGTTTTAAAATTTTGTAAATAAGTGATTTTTCTCCTTCACTGATGTGCGCTAATGAGGCTGCACTGATGGACTCTGATAGGTGGCACTGATGGGCACTGATGAGGACGGACTGGTAGGTGGCACTGATGGGCACTGACAGGCATCACTGATGGGCAGTGAAAGGCAGCACTCATATATGGCACTGATAGGTGGCACTGACAGGCACTGATAGGCAGCACTGATGAGCACTGATAGGCGACACTGACTGGCACTGATAGGTGGCACTGATTGGCAGCGCTGATAGGTGGCACTGAGTGGCATTGATAGGTGGCACTGATAGGTGGCACTGATTGGCAGCACTGATAGGTGGCACTGAAAGGCAGCTCAGATGGGCACTGATATGTGCAATTGATGTGCACTGGTAGGCACTGATATGTGGCATTGATGGACACTGAGAGGTGGAGCTGCTGGGCCTACACAGATCATCAGTGTACATGTCCCCTCCGCGGAATGCCAATTACCGGCTCTCTTCTCCTCTGTCAGCGTGACGGCTCGAGAGGAGAGAAATGCCGATAACCGTCATTTCCCTGTTTACATGTGATCAGCTGTGATTGGACACAGCTGATCACATGACCGAGCTGACATCTTCGGCTCTTTCCATTGATCAGTGATCCGCTGTGTCCGAGGGACACAGCGCACCGCCCGATCGCCGCGCTGCGCACTCCTGGAGCCACGCACGCACGATTAGAATGGGAGGACGTCATATGACTCCTCCCAGAACGAGAGAACCGCCTTGCATCTGTCATCACCTTATATGGCAGGCGGGAGGTGATTAAAATGCACATTTTTGGAAACAAAATACACTTTAATGAGTTTTAGCGCACACAAAAACACAATATAATACTCAATACACACTATATGTGCTGAGAGCGCTCCCAGCACACGTGTCCGGTACTCACGGGAAGGTCCCAATCTCCTCTCTCGATCAGGACCTTTCCCGATCATGTGACGGTGAATCACGGCGGTCACATGACCCTAAATCCCCGCCCCGCCTCCCCTTAAAGGGCCAGGAGGCGCCGACACCAAGGGGTTAAATAGAGTCATGTGCATTCCTCTGTGTTTTTGGTGCGTTTTACCGCATTGCAGTGCAGTTCTGTGCAGGAAAAATGCGGCCTGTTCTAATTTTCTTTCTGCAGCCGGAACGCACCGGAACTGCAAGCCCCTGATGTGATATCTGACACTGACAACCAGATCACCTACTTTCTGTGCGTTTTGGATGCAGACAAAAAGCAACTGAAATGCATGGAGTGTGAACGGGCCCTAAATAGAGCCATGTGCGTTCCAGTGTGTTTTTGGTGCATTTTGGTGCTTTCTGGTGCATTTTTGATGTTTTCCAGTTCATTTTTGCCCACTCTCTCTCTTCAATGGAGTCATGTGCATTCCAGTGTGTTTTTGGTGCGTTCCAGTGCATTTTGATGTGTTTTACAGCGTTCCAGTACAGTTCTGTCTAGGAAAAATGCGGCCTGTTCTTTTTTTTTTTCTGCAGACGGAACACACCGGAACTGCAAGCCCTGATGTGAACTATGACACTGACAACAAGATCACCGACTTTCTGTGCATTTTGGATGCAGAAAAATAGCAACTGAAACGCATGGAGTGTGAACTGGCCCTAGAGCCATGTACGTTCCAGTGTGTTTTTTGTGCGTTCCAGTGCGTTTTTTATGCGTTTTACCACGTGTCCAGTACTCATGGAAAGGTCACAATCTCCTCTCTCGATCAGGACCTTTCCCGATCATGTGACGGTGACTCACGGCAGTCACATGACCCTAAAACCCCGCCTCCCCTTAAAGGGCCAGGAGGCGCCGGCACCAAGGGGTTAAATAGAGTCATGTGCATTCCACTGCGTTTTTGGTGCGTTTTTGATGCGTTTTACCCGCATTGCAGTGCAGTTCTGTGCAGGAAAAATGCAGCCTGTTCTATTTTTTTTCTGCAACTGGAACACACCGGAACTGCAAGCACTGATGTGAACTATGACACTGACAACCAGATCTCCGACTTTCTGTGCATTTTGGATGCAGAAAAATAGCAACTGAAACGCATGGAGTGTGAACTGGCCCTTGAAGCCTTTACAGGTTACCAGCTTACACAGGAGGTCTGGGGTAGAATTATTGCTTTTCCTCTGATGTTCTCGGCGATCCCTCACATGCGTGGTGCGAACACCGTTTACATATGCGTGCAGGACATACGCATGCATTCGCCTTTGTGCACAAGCACGGAGGGCGGGGCAACTTTACATTTTTTTGAATTATAATTTTTGTTTCTTTCATTTTTTTTAATCATTTTTGTTGCTATTACAAGGGATGAACGCCATGCCTTGTGATAGCTGGAGCAGTGACAGGTCCTCTTTATGGAGACCTCTGGGGTCTATTGGACCTCATATCTCTCACAGGCCGGTAATGGCTTTGTTTACATCCGGGCAAAACCGGAAGTGACAAAATCCTTCTCTCTTCCAGTTTCTTAGACCATAGACACAATTGGGGACATTCCGGTCCTCGGCCATCTCTATGGCAAGCCGTCAGAACCACCAGCTTCAGTCCCAGGAGAGCCCGGGAAGGCGGCGGGACGGGAGGACGGACCCCACTTCTGCCACATGTAAAAGCAATCCAGCGGCTATTTAGCTGCTAGGTTCGCTTTTACATAAAAGATGCATTGCCACCCACCAGCTTCAGTCCCAGGAGAGTCCAGGAAGGCGACTGGAGGGGACGGTGCACCCACTTCCAACACATGTAAAAGCAACCCAGTGGCTATTTAGCTGCTAGGATCGCTTTTACATAAAAGTGCATCGCCACCCACCAGCTTCAATCCTGGGAGAGGCTGGAGAGGCTGGGAAAGCAACGTGAGGGTAGATCCACTTTCGCCACATGTAAAAGCGATCCAGTGGATATTTAGCTGCTAGGATCGCTTTTACAGTCTGGCTGAAACATTGGCCTGTGGGATGGGTGAAATGCGTCAACTGAGTGTTCTGGGAGGAGTCTGGCTGAAGCATTGGCCTGTGGGAGGGGTGAAATGCATCAGTGAGTGTCCTGGGAGGAGTCGGGCTGAAGCCAGGGCCTGTGGGAGGTCACCAGAGCATTATGGGATGACTTCTTGGAGCGGCAACCAAAGCTTGTATGGTTCTTAGCCCCACCCCCTGCAATATCTTCTCCTCCCACTGTAGAGCAAGCAGGTGCAGCTTACATGAGAGTGACAACTGTGCTCTGAATCCCAGAGCAGTGCAGCATTGTTGACACACCATCACCGGAAGTTGCACTGGGTTCAATGGCGGGAAAATAAGTAAGTGCTGCAGCATATATGTTACATGGGGTATAATTACATTCATGTAGTGCAGAGATGGACCACAGCACACGCGTGAAGGTGTACGGACTCGGGTGCAATCCATGACAAAAAGTACATAGAATATGCAGCAGACAGGAGATGCCCCCAAAGTGACACCCGCAGGAGGACACCGGAAAACAAGAAGAACAACGTCCTGTCTCTGCAAAGAACTAAAACTCACGGAGGAACACAGAAAGAACAGGGAGGAGCTAGCTAGGACTGAACTAACTTGCACTAAACAGGAGTGGAGGACAGAGGGAGATACCAAATCACAAAAGTAAACATGTTTTAGTGGCCCAAAACCACCACTAGGAGTCGGAATACATAAAAACAACAGTAATTGATGCATTTCAGTAAAGCACAGAAAAAAATACAGATACTTCAGATAATTGCAGCGCGGGGGATGTGTTTTCCAGTCTTTGGAAGTTTAGGAAGACGATTGATCACTTTCCTAAGATTTGACATTTATTAGCCAATAGAGAAAAATATCATCTGTTGCATCATTTATTCAGCTTTTTTTTAGCTTTTCCATCAGCTTTTATTTATTTTTTTATTAATTTTTTTTTTTTTTTGGTTAGACTGAGGGGTTAGAGTTAAGGTTAGGATTAGGGTAGGGGTTCATATTCTATATATTGTCTTATTATAATTTTTTTTTTGTTAAGGTTTGGGTGTTAATAATAATAATACAAAAGTAAAATAAATACACAAATAAATAAAAATAACCATAAATACAATAAATGAATTATATACAATAATAAATAAATAATTAACCCCCTAAACTAATACTTATTATTAATAATAATAACAATTATTAATATTATTATTATAATAATAATATAAATAAAACCTTTAACTCTAATACAAAATAAATAAAAAACGTTATTATTAATATGATGATGATGATATTAATTTTAATAATAATAATATTTTTTGTTTGGGTTTGGGTGTTTATTTATTATTTTAATATTGTTATCATTATTGTTACTAATTTTTTTGTTTGAGTTTGGGTGTTTTGTTATTTTATTATTATCATTACTATTATTATTATTATTCCTTATTTATTTGTTTTTTTTTGGATTAGGGGGTTAGAGGGTAATTATTATTTATGTAATATTATGTATTTGTTTTTAATTATTATTATTATTATTATTTCTTTATTACATTTTCCAAAAAAAAAAAGGTACAACCACCCATTATAATTAACATACACCAATATTGTAAATCACTTTTATAGTTTTTATTAACTCCCACCCCACCTCCCATATACTCCCTTTCCCAAAATTACCCCTCTCCGTCTCTTGATTTACTTAAATAACTTAATTTTGACTCCTCTAGTATTTATCTATCCTTATCTGTATCCTTTTCCCTTTCTCACCCATTTTCACTTTTATTAATTTTTATTAATGTATTTCATTTATTTATTATTTATGTATTATTTTTTTCTTTATTTGTGTATTTATTTTACATTTATTTTTTTTTTTTATTTATTCTTATATTATTATTATTTATTATTTTTTATTTAATTATTTTTTTACATTTTTTTTTTTTTTTTTTTTTTTATTATTATTTTCTTTATTTGTGTATTTATTTTTTACATTTATTTTTTTTTTATTTATTCTTATATTATTATTATTATTATTATTTATTAATTATTTTTTTACATTTTTTTTCATTTGAACAGAAAAAAAACGTGCAAATATGGGCAAAAACCCGCGAATTGAGCAAATTGAAATATTTATTATTTTATTATTATCACTACTATTATTATTATTCATTATTTATTTTTGTTTATTAGGATTAGGGGGCCAAGGGCTAATTATTATTTATTTATTATTATGTATTATTATTTTTTTATTATTATTATTTCTTTATTACATTTTTTACGAATTGAGCGTTTCCCCTTCATTTCTATGGATATAAATACGTTTCAAAAAATGCGTATATCCGCCCGATTTCAGCCGACAGCGACACCAAAAATCTCCAGAACTTGTTTGAGCTTCAGACATTTGGCATCAGGCGACATGGAGTGGAGTAATTGTTTTTTTTTTCTCCTCGAGCATTTTGGAGCTTTGAGCTACAAATCGCTCATATGTGACATGGAAAGAACAGGGAGGGTCCAGCTAGGACTGAACGAACTTGCACTAAACAGGAGGGAGAGGACAGAGGGAGACACCAAATCACATAAGTAAACAAGCTGTGGTGCCCAAAACCACCACTAGATGTCAGAACCCATGACAACAATAGCAGTGCAGATACAACACAGAGGCAGGTTTTCCACTCTTCTCTGCATGGCCCTCAAACAAATTGCCGAAAGATGGA